TATACATTTAATTTTATTTTCAATAAAGCGTATCAAAAGTTCACTGTTGAGCATAGGCCTCTCTCATATTGTCTTATTGCCGCGCTTGGAAAGCGGATTAGTATTAGCAAACGCAGTTTTTATTAATATTCATAAGTTGTTATCAAGAATATGTTATTCCTGTTTTGGTATTCCTCTGCCACATCTTGTTTTGGTTTCACTTACGCCGCCACTAACCGGTCAAGCGGTGTTGGAAAACCAACATGTCATGATGGTATTCCCTTATCACAAATCAGAATTTACATAATAAATATGCATGTGTATTTTTACCTGCAGTTAAAATTCCATATTCCACTACAGCCTGGTGTTTTATTCATGTAAACATTAGCGTCACTTCGTTGCCTCGAGAACACGTGCGTGCATAAATCGCGCGCCTCCTTACATGACCACACATTAATGCCTTCATGTAACAAATGTTTTCACATTTTCATATTATTAATGAAGAAAGAACAATATAAGCTTTGAAAGTCATTGTTTTACTTTTAGCATTGTGTAGGGCGAATGTTAGGAGAGGAGTTAAACAAACGAATGATGATACAAGACTCCCTTTATTGTATTAATAAATTTGATTATATAGGATTATTATTTCACTTGTGTGTGTACTTTTATATACCCTTACTACTACTACTACACCTTCCATCCAAAAGAAAAAAAATGTGTCAACACAAGGATACATTTTTTTTTTGATACATTAATAGATTTTATTTTCGTAAATATTAGGAACAGTTACATTATAAAATAATATATAAGGTATTTATTTTAAGAACATTTTTTTTCTTTTTTTTATGATTATTTAATTTAGAATATTTATAATTACGTAATATTAAGTAATCTACAAACAGAAATAATAATAATAACAATAAATGTACTTAGATTCAGCATATAAAATATGTTTTATTTATTATTGGATATACAATTTCGTGCGGTTTTTATGTACTAATTCATTTTTACCATTTTTAATTATTTCTACGTTTGGTGTTACATCTTTAACAACTTTATAAGGACCAGAGTATAGATCACTTAGTTTATTACCTGACTCATTTTTTAAGAGTACTAAATCATTTACATTGTATTTTATAGGCTTGGTATATTTATCAAACATAATTTTTCTCTTTTCTTTAGACTTTATCAAATTATTTCTTGCCTCTCTTTGTGAAAATTGTAACCTGTATTTGAGCTCACATGGATAATGATCGTAGTTATAAAGTGGCTCTAAATCTACTGTCAAATTACTAGGAAGTGAACATTTTTTACCAAAGACAAGTTCATAAGGACTGAATTTCGTCTCTGTATGAACTGTCGTATTATAGGCAAACGACCAAAATGGTAACCAGTCGCTCCATGTTTCAGGGTGATTATCAATTTGAATGCGAAGAAAAGCATTTAAATTTTTATGTGACACTTCCAACGCACCTAGTGATTGGTGGTGGTAAGCAGTCGAATTTAATTGTTTTATTTGAAGCAATTTACATACCTCTTGGAATAATGATGCGGTGAACTCTTTCCCTCTGTCCGTAGTTATTACTTTCGGTACTCCATACCTAAGAATAAAGTTAGTGACCAAACTCTTTGCTACTTCGTTGGTTTTTTTAGAAATTAAGGGATATGCTTCGACATACTTAGTGAGTTCGCATTGTAGCGTTAAAGCATAAGAGTAATTATTATTATTAACTTCAAATGGACCTACTAAGTCTAAATATATCTTTTCAAACGCTGTATTAGCTGTCGTTGTTATTTCTAGTGGCTCTCTTACGGGTAACGAAAATTTCTGACGCTGACATTTGTCACAACGCCTAACAAAGTTCTTTACATCCTTATCTAACCCAGGCCAATAATAATACTTTTTTATATTGTTGACCATCCTTCTCATACCTGCATGGCCACTGCTAGGTAGGAGATGGAAGTCATTTAATATCACCTTTCTGTCATCCTTATTATATATCGTTTTTACATTATTTATTATATGTACACGTGGACCGGTCCTATCATTCATAGATTTGATTTCTTCAACTAGTTTTTTAATAAATTCCTTATTACCATCCTTCTTTATTATATATACTTCATTAACATTTATTAGCTTACAAAAATCATCTAATTCCCTCACAAACTCGCGTCGCGTCATTCGTGAGTCGGAACTTAGATATTTAATATAAATTATCTTTTCCTTTTCAACATAACAAAATGTATTATTTTCTTTACTAATAACTCTTAATTTTCTCAATGTTTTCAAATCATCTTTATTAACCACACGCAACTCCACTGATTCTGCTGGTTTGACATGATTACTTACGACTTTCGGTTGATCAGGCCTCAAGTCTGTGGGTATTATGTCCAACGAGGAGGATCCTGGTTTATTTATTTTTCGACATTTTGCTCGTGTCATGACACTAACGATGTTCTCATTTAATTCTTTCAACTCTTTGGAACTCAAACAGATTCTAGATAACGCATCTGCAGCTGCATTATCTGAACCCTTTACATACTCTACGTCAAAATTATATTCCTCTAATACCAACCGAAACTTCATAAGCTTGCTCGATGGATCTCTCATGCCAAATAGGTATACTAGAGGTTTATGGTCAGTCCTGATTTTAAAATATTGCCCATACAGGTACGGTCTGAAATGTTTCACGGCCCATACTATCGCTAACAACTCTTTTTCTATAACTGGATAGTTTAATTCAGCCTTATTTAGAGATCTGCTAGTAAAAGCTATAGGTCTTCCATTTTTATTCGACAGAACTGCTCCAATTGCTTTATTAGATGCATCGGTTTGTAAAATGAAATAATTTTCTTTTGAAAAATCAGGGTAATCTAAAACTGGGGGGAACATAATCCGTTTTTTGAGTGTTTCAAAAGACTTTTGACATTTTTCAGTCCAAACAAAATTAGTATTTTTCCTACAAAGTTGGTTTAATGGTTGCGCAATTTCAGCAAACTTGGGTATAAACTTTCTATAATAATTTGTGAACGCCACAAATCTTTTAACTTCGTCGGCATTCTGCGGACAAGGATAGTTTTTTACTGTATTTATTTTTTCATGATCAGGTAAAATCCCTTCGTTAGATATATAATGTCCCAAATATAAAATCTGTTTTTTAAGAAATGTACATTTTGAAGGGTTCAATTTTAAGTTTACTGAACGAAGTCTTTCGAAAACATCCTGTAAGTTTTTATTATGGTGGTCTAGTTGTCTACCAAAAACAATGACGTCATCTAAATAAATTAAGCATTTTTCATTATTTAGTACTGACATTGCTAAATTCATCATTCGCGAGAAAGAACTGGGACTTGTTTTTAATCCCATGGGCATTCTCGTCATCTGGTATTGACCAGAATTGAAAGCAGTAAATTTTCGACAACTTTTATCTAAATTAACATTGTAATACCCTTGATATAAATCTAAATGTGTAAAATAGACACTTCCAGACAAAGATTCTAAAATTTCTGTAATATCAGGGAGGGGGTACTTATCGTCCTCTATACAGTTATTTAATTTACGGTAATCCACTACCAATCGCCATTTTTTATTACCCGATTCATCTAATTTTTTAGGCACCAATAATATTGGGCTAGACCAGTCGCTTTTACTAGGTTCTATAATCCCTTCTTTAAGCATGTTGCTAATTTGACGATTAATTTCCTTTTTCTGACTAATTGGTAACCTATAGGGTTTCGAAAACACTGGACTAACGTTTGATTTCAAAAAAATATTGTGAGTGTAAATATCTGTTGTTGTCAATTTATCGCCCTCTAAATAAAAAACATCTGCATATTTTGCACAAATATTTTGAATACTTTGACTTTCTAAGTCATTTAAATCATTTAATTTTAATGAGGAAAATAATCGTTTTACTCGGTCTGAATTATTCTCATTTTTCTCAAAACTACAAATATTATAATCGTTAAGATCATGAATTGCAGGATTTATTCCTGACAATGTTACTGATTTTTCGGTAACATTTAATATTTTTATTGTTATTTTTCCCCTAATTGGTGTCGCTATCGAGCTAGCCAAATAAACGCCATCTTGTAATTCTTGTGAACAAATAATGCAATCGGTTTGAAAATCAGTTTGAATATAATGTATGGATTCACTTCTTGGGGGAATTTCCAATACCTTAATATTATAATTATTAGTGAAAGGCAAGAAACAAGTGTGGCCTGACTCTAACTTCAAAGATAAAATATTTTTCTCGAAATCTAAACATGCTCCAAATCTATTCAAAAAGTCTCTACCTAGAATTCCATGCGACGAAATTGGTAACGAATTAAAAACAAAGAACTTGTGATTAATAACAGATCCATGAATCATTAATGGAACATAAACATATCCGATTGTTTGCACCTCGCCACCTAGACCGTTTATAATTACATTCTCTTTATGTAATGAAACACTTAATTCAATAGCATGTTTATATGTTACGGCGGATAAAGATGCGCCCGTGTCGACTAAGAAAGAATAAGTTTTATTGCATGATGAAACTGGTAAATGAATAAAACAATTGCTATTACTACTAGCCAAAATTAAATGATTTTGTTTATTCTCGAAAAAACTTATCTAGTTGGGGTTCATCTGAAGTTGATTTTTGGTTTTCATTAATTATATTGACTATATTTCATTTTATCCCTTGATTTCTGCGATAATTACGAAACGTACCTCGATTATATCGTCCTCGCTGTCCTTGGCCACGTAAGTTCGAGTGGTTCCATGAACTCGATCGCTGCGAGTTTCCGTGGTAGTGTCCTCGCTGTGAAAATGTTTGCCAATTACGCCCGTTGCCGCGTGGGTACCTAGAGTTATAATGAAAATTCCTAGAATAATAAAATTTCTTACTGGACATACCCATCACCTCTCCTGCGGCCGATGATGATGAAGTCTCTTCATCTTGAGCTGCTTGAATGGCATCCTTCAGGGAGCTGTAATTTCTAGCAGATATTATTGTGCTGATTCGACGATTTCATAAGCCATCGGAAAATTGCTTGATCGCTTGTTTTTCATTAACAGTTTTCAAAATATTGTAATATTCGGTATTACCGTTGGCTTGCGATATCGTAAGGTCCACAAATAACTCTGTTATTTGTTTTCCGTAATCAGCAATTGGCATATCATTTTGGCGTAATTTTTGCAATTTACTTTGAATTGCTGCTGCGCTTTTTCTTGGCAACAACTCTTTCTGCATGTCACTAACCAAGTCTTCAACATTAGAGTAATCGTCTTGAAGACGTAATTTAGCAGATCGAGATAATCTACTTTTTAATATGAATTTAATTAAATTATTTTTGCATTCCTGTTTTGTTAACAAAGAATTATAATACTGAATATTGTCTACTAATTGTTTTACACTTGTCTCGTCATCTGACATAACAGGTAATAAAGTCAGAGCCGTTTTCAAATCGAAAGTATCCATATTGCTCGGATTTTCAGATTGTACACACTGGGGCTTACACAATTTTATAATATCCTGATATAATGATTCAAAATTCTTACAATAAGTTTGATAAGATGGAATATCAGTAGATTTAATCTTACCTTCCTTTACTTTACTATTAAAATTTATTAACAACTTAGAATAGTCACTAAATATTTCATTGGCCTCTTTAAGTTTAGTATTTAAAACTTTTCCTTCACGTCTACTCGGTCCAATTTTAATTAAATATGTTCTCACTTCTTTTAATTTCTCATATAATTGTTCTAAAGAAATATTCATAACTTACCACCAATACGTAGAATAGAGTATACTATACATAATTTTACGAAATATTTAGTGTAATAATAATACGGTTAAATGACGATTAAAGACAGTACAACGAATACATGATTTAATTTAAAATATAAAGTTCAGTAATATAGGCTAGAGTCCCAGATTTATGTAGTTGATTTATAAACACATTACCTTTTTTTTTTTCACTATTAATAGACACGCACTTTTTTACTCATTTTATATACACGTAAACTCCACTTTTAAACACTGATCAGCGCCGGTCATACTTTATAATACGCCCTTGGTTGACTTGCCTCTTCCACATTTGTGGAGGGTTGTGGTTGCCGAAAAATAGACCTTCTCAGGGTATTTCTGTTTATCTCTGTGTTAATCCACTTTATATGACATCGCCTATATGTCCGATAGAAGCAATACAGGGACCCCAGTAGAAGTACTAGCACAATGATAGACAGCAAAATATTACTCGTAGTCAGGTGAAATTGTAATTGTTCAACTCCTGCCTTATTGCTTCCCACTGCGTTTTGCACAATTACGGTATCTTCTTTAGTCTGTTTACCGCCCATCTTGGATGTTATTTTTCGTTAACTTTTTGTTAAACACGTGTACACAGTCGCGCAGCTCAAGATAGAACGCCATAGCTTGATTTAGTTCATCACTTGCACATAGAAAAAATGTTCCACTCCAAATACGGCGAAGGGTGTCATATTCGCGTCGCGAATTACTTCGGCAGGGTCGCCATGTAGGGCGAATGTTAGGAGAGGAGTTAAACAAACGAATGATGATACAAGACTCCCTTTATTGTATTAATAAATTTGATTATATAGGATTATTATTACACTTGTGTGTGTACTTTTATATACCCTTACTACTACTACTACAATTGGTTGCAAAAAAATCTCAGTAATGGGAAGAACCAGCAAGAAAGCAAGAAATCTAACGAGATTTTTTTAATATTAGGGGTTTTAATTCATGGCGTTACAACTTATTATAAAAATTATTTAAGAAACAGCTTGGAAGTAGTCACCTATTTCTAAGGGTTATTTGCATACATTCATTAACATTAAAAGTGATTTAGTTAGGTTTAGGCTTAGGGCAGAAAGTGAAACAAAATACTGTGTAGTGTTATGCTACTTACATATCATTTTACATTATTTTAAATTCATTTTTCCATTCTGTTTCAATTTTCTGCATTCACCTCAAAACTGGATATTTTACATCACCTTTATTTCCATAGGATCCTGTAACGATTTTAAACCATAAGAACACAATAACAAATCATTTCTACTTCGTATTTTCACATTATCAGCACTTTTAAATGGGTGTCAATGGAGTCTACCTTTTTCGATCTTTTATTTAGTTTTCCGTAACTCTGCAATTTCGGACTTTGTGCGTGCAGGTGCGCTACCTTTTTTCCTATATCAATAATATCTCATTTTTCACTTAAATCTTGCCGTTTTTCTATTACGAGCCTAAAACCAAAATTTGACATGTTTTGACATCGTTGTTTATCTGGTCGTCATGGCAATTATATTCAAATTTGCTACCGGTCTGTTGTTTCTACTTCGATAATTCCACATAAATACTCTTTCCTCTTGGCCATTTACAAAAAAATTTGCGTTTAATTTAAATAATTTTTCCGTTCTCTCTAGAAAGGTATAAAAGCCGAACAATCGGTGAAGAAATTGAGTCTCGCTTCAGTTCTCGAATTCGAAGCATCTCCTAAAGGCCTTATCCCGGGGCCGCACTGCCCCGGGATCCTGCAAGCCTCTGCTCTGCCTGAAGTCGCCGGATCCTACAAACCTCTGCTCTGCCTGAAGTCGCTGGATCCTACAAGCCTTTGCTCTGCCTGAAGTCGCCGGATCCTACAAGCCTTTGCTCTACCTGAACTCGCCGGATTCTGCAAACCTCTGTCCCGCCTGAAGTCACTGGGTCCTGCAGGCCTCTGTCTTGTCTGAAGTCGCTGAGGATCCTGCAAGCCCCTGTCTTGCCTAAAATCGCCGGATCTTGCAAACCACCGCATTCACCTGAGGTCGTCGCCTAGAGACACACGCCTTCTCACCTACGCCGTGCGTGCTCGTTCCAGGCGCTGAGAGCACTTGCTGTACACCTTGGATCTTCGGACTCAGCTTCGACACTAATCTTTTTTTTTATTACCTTTTTTTTAATAATTTGTAAATCACGACATCCATCCTCATCTTCGTACTCCATTTTGTTACATAAAATTGTAAATATCTTTTAAATCTTAAATATATTATTTGTTTTTGTTCTATTTTTGTTGTTTTGCTGTTACTAGGTTAGATTCTTTTGTTCTTAATTGTCGCTTCACGACAACTGTTAACCTTTTTAATTTATTTTGCATAGGTTGATGGACCACGTTGATGGATCACCTTGATGGACCACGCTCTCAAATAATAACTGCGTATAATAGCAGCTTAATGCTGCGTCGTTCGTATGGTGAGTTTTAAGAATCGGAGACCCGTTTAACTTGTAAAGAGACATTCTACTTTACTCCTCGGGTGGTAACACACTTATATTTTGATTCTTAATCAAGGATAGCTGCGGGTGTTTGGGCCACAGCATCCACTTGACATCAGGTGGACTGTGCTCGTTTGTCACCTTTATTCTATGAATTTTTTTTTTGGTTTTACTACTTTTACTATTCTGTGGTTTTACTAGGCATCAATATAATCAGTACTGTTATTAATCCTCCAAAATTATTGGTAGTTCTATCTGAATTTCTATCTAAGTCCCTCGATATCAAGATCATTTGTCCATACTCGCCACGCCGGGTAGGCTAGGCTTTAGGCCCAAATTACACAGATTAGCAATGCTGCTTTATATTGCTAGTCATATTGATGGCTTTGCTTGATGGTACCATTCTGCCACTTGAGAGCATTTGTGCACCATCGGTTGTAAGTTCTTCGAGTTATGAAAACAACAGTATAATAAAATCAAATAAAATACACTTATTTGCAAAAAACAGGCAGCTTTGATTTTTCCTGCCTAAAACAAATACAATACGAAATTATTTTAGTCATTGAATATAAAAGCTTTTAGTAAAATTTACTTCGCAAATATCCGCGTTATAAACGCGGATATTTGCGAAGTAAATTTTTCTAAAAGCTTTTATATAATGGATTTCCGCAAAGTAACGCCTGATTCTATTAATTATATTAGTCATTGAATATGTTACTAGCCGGTTATAAAAGTGCAATGGTGTTTTAAAAAGTACGTGTCAAATTTAAATTATTGCACTGCTTGCAAAAGGTTGCAGTACATGCTAAATGTGAGTCGTTTGACAGTCCCAAGGACTTCCATTGCTATCAAGAGAACAGTTCCGTTAAGGGAATGCCTGGCTCTGGAAGAAAATGAGTATCAAAAAACTGACTGCACCTGATCAAACAATAAGTCAAACGTTAAGAAATGGTAAATCTTTGTATATGGACGTAAAGAATAGCACTGAAGAAGTAACAAATGTGACAATTAGCCTATGGAAAGTCAGAAAGAGGCTTTTCGCTGCCAATATACGCAGTCATAAAATACTCTGTCAGAACCGCATTGCCAGTTATAGCTTCGCTCCAGATTGTATCTCATGGATTCTAGAAGACTGGGTGAAGACAGAAGTCGGCGAGTGCAAGACGTTCTACCGATTTGCAGAGGCATGTTTTGAAGAAATCACACCTTTTGGTGGAGACTCTGTTATGTTTTGGCCAGGAGTAAATTCATCGTACGGAGTAAGACTTCATCGAAAACACTACATTGACTGGACACCGATACCTAACGGAAGTTTTAATTCTTCATGTACAATCCGCACTGGCCACTCTTGGCGAAAACTCATTATTTATGGACGACGACGCTCGTCAACTGGTGGAATCGTATATGCTAGAGGTCATAATTCGCCGTATGGATTGACCAGCTCGTAGTCCCGACCTAAATGAGATAATAGAGCATATCTAGGACTATCTGAAGCGATGGGTGAGATCAGGCAGCCGGCTCCTCAGATCATCAGGGAGCTAAAAAATGTGACTACCGTGAAGTGCAAACTTATTTCGCAAGAAACTTTAAAAGATATACTCGTTAGAATGTCCAAACAAATGCAAGCTGTGATTTCAGCAAGAGAAGGTCACACTCCATACTGAACTTTTACCTGCTTTTACTTTATTAAAGAAAAAACAAACAAAAACATATTACATTTTTACCTAGCGAGCAGGTACACTACTAGCGCTTTGAACTTTAACAATACTTCACATTGCACAAGTGGTACAATTAAAAATTTTTGTACAACCGACTTCAATATAAATAAAACGAGAATATCAATTTAGTCGAAAACAATTAAATACGAATTATTAAAGATAACTCAAAAAGTACTGGTCAAATTTATATGGGACCACATGAGAAGCACTAGCTTTCAAATAATAGAAGAATCATCAAAATCACCTAGAAAAACCTTAGTTTCATTTTTCAGATAAAATATAGCCTACATCCCTCCTGGCACTGCTTTCTATCTGTTCGTAAAGTTTCGTCACAAACAATTAAGTCATTCCGAATATTATACCAGACAGACAGATAGACAAAATTTAAATAAATGGTTATTTCTGTTTTAGTAGCTCGCAAATACTACCCTCAACTTAATAGAAGCCAGTTATGTCAATATTACAACAGTATATATATGTTACGGCCCGCAG